TTCACATTGTGTTTGATGCAGTCATTCCCATACATTGTTAACAAGCCATTGAACTGTGTCTCCCTGCTTCAAAAAGGAGAACTGTCCCTATAAATAATAGCCATAGTATTAAAATAGCTACAAGGTCATTTATGCCACTCCTCCCTGCACGTGTACCTCTTTCTACTAATCAGTTGGGTCCTGTATTCGTTGTTGACTCACAGTTGTGGGGTTTATTAGAGAATTAGGTTGGAGAGTGGGAAGGCAAAGAATTTCACACAGTGCAAGTTCAGGTTTAGTCCAGCAGTCCCAAACCAGATTAATAAGGTATAATTCCTCAGTTAGTAAGTAAAGTGGGTTCAGTTCAGCAGCACAAATGCAAGAAGCATCTGGTTTCCTCAGTGTCGCAGCCTTTATCTCAGAGCCGTTATAAGTCAGTTTTTCCTTCAGTCATTCGGCAGGTAAAACCTTTACTATAAATACAGGGTTCCTTTGGTTTTACCTTGCCACAGTCTCTTCACACCAGTTATACTGGCTCTATCCTCTCCATCACCATCATCAGGGTACCCCACAGTATGGAAAACTCTCTCTCTTATATTGGTCTCACAATTGTTGATGATTTGTAGAACCATGTGTCTTCAGTTAAGGTAGCTGGAGACCATGACTCTACTCCTTCCAACAGGGATTAATGCAATGACTAGAAAAGCCAGTATTTAGGGTTTCTGACACAACACTTGATCACAAAAGGGCGGAGAAATTATGCTCAGTCTCTTACAAATATGGTTAGATTCTAAAAACCAGGTTGTTAAAATAAGCATTTTGCAAAAATGGAGGATGACTACACCAGATAACACAGTGGAGCAGAGCTGCCTCATTATGGAACTGCCAAAATCACATCACTGCTTAACTGCTAAGCCACTGAGAATCATGGCCCAGCCCAGTGGGCACATAACTTTGACCACCACAGCCATCATTAGACTCCTGTCTCACACCTCAGCATTTGTTAACTGCCAGATTTACATTATTAATGTCCAGAATAGCTATACAGTAGTCTTTTAACGCATGTCATAAAAATGAAATGTCAGATGATGAGGTAACTAAATAAGGAGGAGATTATTATTGTTTTGTGCCGTCAAGGTGCCTGCGACTCATAGCAGCCCTATGAACAACAGCCCTAAAACCTGCTCTTTCCTGTGCCAATCTTACTGTCTCACCTATTCCATTACCCCAGTCACTGAATTAATCCACCTCATCGAGGATCTTCCTCTCCTGCACTGTCCTTTCACCCTCCCAAGTATGACGTCCTTCTCCAAGAAATGATCCTGCCTTGCAGTGTGTCCAGAATATGGCAGATGAAGCTTCAGAATCCTTACTTCCAAGGAGCAGCCTGGCTTTACCCTTTCCAGGACAGACCTTTTTGTTCTCCTAGCAGTCCATGGTATATTCATTACTCTTCTCCAGCACTGCAGCTCAAAGTCATCAATTCTCCTAGCATCCCTAGTCATTGTTCAGTTTTCTGATGCATAGCAAGTAATTGCAAAGACCAGGACCTGTTATCAGGCACACCTTAGTCTCCAGACTGACATCATTGCTTTTCAGTACTTTAGAGGGATCTCTGACAGACTTTCCCAAGGCAATTCATCATCTAATTTCCTGGCTGCTGGTACCAAGAATGTTGATCGTAGAGCCAAATAAACTGAAGCTGTTAACAATCTCAGTCTCTTCACCATCTATCATGATGCTGCCAATTGGCCCAGTGGTAATAATCTGTTTTCTTGATGTTGAGCTTCAATCCATATTGAAGGCTGCAGCCCTTGACTTTCTGCAGCAAGCACTTCAAGTCCTCCTCAGTTTCAGTAAGCAGGGTTGTGTCATCTGCATAACACAGATTGTTGATGAGTCTGCCTCCAATCTTGATGCCACACTTCTCCTCATAGAGCCCGGCCTTGAGAGTAGATATAATGTGACTTTTCCATGTCAAACAAGTTTGACCTAAAGCTACTCTAGTAACTTGAATTTTGCCTCTATTAGTTCTGAATTTTAAATCTTAATTTCACATGATTGTTTTGGTTGTGGGATGAGGACACAATATGGTGGGAGTAGTAGAACTTAGGAACTTTGGCTGTCAATTGAGCTCTGTTTCAAAAGGACCTCTGGCTAATCCTTAGTGTTCCTTACCAGGTGTAACCACGAAGGATGTGGAAAACACTTTGCATCACCCAGCAGGTTGAAACGACATGAGAAAGTGCATGAGGGTAAGTACAGGTAGTGCTTTGTGATACTCACTTTGAGTAAAGCACCTCACTAGAGAATATTTGTTTAATTCTTAGATTACATAAAATGCTTTATATTCTTCTCCTTAGTCAGACAGGGAAAATAGAAATTACATGTGGGGGGAGGAAAAAACCCCCACTGCTGTCAAGTTGTTCCCAATTCATAGTTACCTTCCATTTCTTGAGGCTGTAAATCTTCATGTGAGGAGTCTACCTGGTAGCTGCTAGATTCCAATGCATTATGCACTGTGCCACCAGGGCTCCATATACATGAGAAAGATGGTTCAAATTTGAGACAGAGGTGGCACCATTCTGCTTCTTCAGAGCTAATCCTCTTATCCAAAGTTGTTGTTGTTGTGTGCTGTCAAGTCACCTGCAACCCTGTGTACAATAGCTCTGCAGCCTGCTCTGTCCTGAGCCAGTCTCACTGACTCTGACACACCTACCCTCGTTGCTTTAGTTACTGTATCAATCCTTCTCACCCGAGGTCTTCCTCTCCTGCACTGTCCCTCCACACTTCCAACCATGATGTTCTTCTCTAAGGACTGTTCCCTCCTGGCCACATGCCCAAAGTATGTGAGATGGAGCTTCAAAATCCTTGCCTCCAAGGAGAAATTTGGTTTTATCCTCTCCAAGACAGACCTATTTGTTTTCTTGGTGGTCTGTGGTATGTTTTGGGG